AGGTCAGAGGGCAGCCGCGATGGGACAACGAAGAAATTATATTGAGTCATTGACAAGGCAGCATGGAACTACAACATAGTAATAAGAGTGATATCCTGAAAAAAAGAAGCTCAGCACAGTGAATTACGAGGACGCATGAAGAGGAAAAAGAGTCTCAGAACAAAAGGATGAGTTCATTCCCGTCGAAACAGGTCGTACTCATTAAAATCAGTTTATTTTTTGGAATCATTGACAACCAAGAGGAAGAAACTGATGGAAAAGTAAAAGCTTACCTGTCGAGCAAGGCAGTCAACAATGCGAAGGCGATTGGCAGGGGACGATGGTCAACGTCAGGAAGAAAGTGTTATTTGTTTCTATTTGGCTTAAAATTTTCCTTGATGGCCTGAGCGCTTAAGCGGCGTCAATTCGGCATCAATGGAACAACTCTCAACTTTCAAGCACCCTCCAAGGCCTCATAGGTTGCGTTAGTCTATTGTGCGTAGATTCTCCGCATTATCCATTAAAATGTAACAGATCTTTGCCTTCAGATGCATCGGCAAGAGGAGAAGCGGGAAAGTGAACAAAGCCCTTCGGAGTAATTGCTTCTCAACCTGACTGACTGGTATGAAGCCGTCGTATTTTTCGCGTATTCTACAAATGGGAATCATGATATTCTAGGCTTCTAGTAGCGCAACATCAGGAGTGTTATCGTTTATCTCGATCCGGAATTTTTTTGCGGCGATCCTGTTAAGGTGATCCCTCTGGATATTGGTCATTTGACAATGAATTCTGGCTCGTTGCAGCTTGGGCAGGAGTAAGTGGAGGTGGTACTGCATGGTCTCAGTGCCAGCGCCCCTGGATGAATTGGTGAGGTCCAGGGCCCGAATTTCTGGGAACCGCAATCTCCCGAACATCCTGGCGATTGGGCATGCAGCGATGATGCTCAGCGAGGTAAGCCTTTCCATAGAGACCGGATTATTTACCCATGGTGTCGGTAAAACATCACCAAGAATACCATCGCTCCGATCAGACGTCAGGGTACGTATTTCGGCCTTCACTAGGCAGTTGCTGCCCGCAGCAAGAATCCGAATGCAATCCACGAGATCCAATTCGCAGTTCAGAACCAGTTCACGTATGTGGTTCATCGATGGTGGGGTGAAGAAGACGGAGAGCTGGTTACGGTTACCGCCCCAGGTGAGGATGTCAATCCTTTCCGGAATTACGTATCGAACGTCCGTGGATGGCTGAAGGTCGCCAGTGATGGGAAGCACTATTGTCAGTGTGGTACAACGGCTGTGTAGATCGTTCTCTGTGACATCCTCCAACATATCGAGGAATTTTGAAAAGTTGATGTCGCTGAAAAGAACAGATTGCGAGTTGAAAGCTGCAGACACAGTCACTTGACCACCAGCCAAACTGAGGGCCTGGATCGATTCGCTAGACCTGAGAGCATCGGATTCGGTAGCGGTTTCGACCATCTCAATAGCCAGGGTATTGTCCTGCTGGAAATAGCATCGGGCGAAAACCGTATCAAGAGATTCAACAGTATGCAGTTCCTGCATGTACTGCTGCATTTCGAAAAATAGTCCAACCTCGGGCAAAGGAGGAGCTAGGAGATGGTCCACTTCCACTGGTGCATCTTCACGCATATCTGTGAAGTGTGGCTGAGTGGGTATAGCATGCAGGGACGATTCTGGTCGTTGCCTACGACTCTCAGTGCGTAGAGAAGTTCGCCCACCCATGAAACGAGGGCCGGAATGGAGAGAGCCATAAGGAATGGCCTGGGTTGAATAGTTTTGAGTCGGTGAAAGGTAGCCGATGACAGCACAGAATGGCCTCAGAATGTATCGTCGAATGCTTGGTCGCTCCATGTTATGTTTAGAGTTTGACAAGGGACAGGCGTCTTGTGCGATAACCTCAAAAACCGATCTATATAAAGCAAAAAATATGAGATCCTTATTGTTGGTGCAACAAAAGGTTGACTCGTTCTTTTGTTGCAATGCAATCAGAGCACATACATAGGCTATGACCATGGCACGAACAATCCTTTCGTAGAACAAAAAAAAAAGTAATTTTTAGAACATCGCCTTGATTGACATCGCAACCCGTTCATGTTGGTATGGAGTGGAGATAGTTCAAAAGATGCGAAGGGTAATCAAACGTAGAATCAGATGACAAATACTATTGGTTGGGAGGGTGCTTATGTGAGTATGTGAGCCTAGGTATGTCGGCCTCGATTGTCGATGGAACTGGTCAATTATGTATATTATTCTTCGATGAGTACCACGTTCGGACTAAGTCACTGTGCTATGGCCTCGCATAGACCTGTCGATGTTTTGTTGGAATAATGTAGGAGTAACCACCAGCGGAGGCTACATACTTTTTACGTTCTGCCCGTGTGAGGGAACGCGCGGAACGTGAGGTGGAACGCAAAAAGCTACCACGCCAACCAGGGGTCTTCAGGACGCTCTAAATCCCAGTCACTAATATAGTGAACAGTGGAGTCCAAGCATTTGAACGTTGTCGATGCGCCCAAGCGAGTTCGAATTCTTTCCTTCTCCCCTTCGCCCGTCACTCCCAACAGGGTAACTGATGTGAAATTTTCCCACTTCAGCGCTTCTATGTCGTACAAGCTAGATGTGCGTGAACAGTAAGAGCATAACTCCAGACGTCGGAGAGACGGAAATGCAAAATGTTCCAAAAGCGGGGCCAAATCGGCTTCAGAGACGATTTTAAGATCCTCCACGAGACAGGTGACGATAGTGTGAGATGGGATTGCACCTAGAGGAAGGAATGGTTGAACCTGGGATAACTGCTTTATCGTGTCGATCTTGATCTTTGTTGCTCGTCTCGCATGATAAAGGATATATGCGCAATCCTCCCTCGCAATATTGCACCTGAGATTCAAGGTCTCGAGATTGGCCAATAGTGCTGGATAAAGAGGAAGCCAGGACGACAACAGCTGTGCCGCGTGTCCTGCCCACGTGAGATGGCGTAGGTGAGCAAAGGAAGGGAATGGAAGTGGGGGACATGTTGTCGGATCGTATCGGAGGTCACTATCGGTAGGCAACGCGATTTCGAGATCATGCAGGAGCGAAGTGTCCACATTAAGGGTAAGCAAAAACTGTAGGGAACAGCCCAGTGTACAGAAAGATTCATTCAAAGGCAATGGCCATTTTCGGTCGTATTTAATCCGCGCATTAAGCTTGAAAGATGATACGCCATCTAGTTTCGTGGCAGCCCGCTTCAAGGTCTCCATGCTACGCCATCCACCGGATCGGGTCATCCGAACAATCAACTGTTGCGGCCTGGTCTCAATCCATATGTATGTCTTACTGTCTAGAGATTGCTCAAGAGACTCTGAGTCGTGCGGGAGTGGGTTGGAGCTATGTAGCGAAGCTTTAAGTGATGCAGAATGATATATTAATAGACAAACCTTTCGTGACTCGCACTTGGTGCTTCCACCAGAGGGACTCTCATATGAGAGGGCATCTTCTATGGGGACGATGAGCTCCAACCAAGCATGAGGGAGTAAACTCACACGAAACGGTTCAGAAAGGAATGACTCTTGAGGAAACATGTGGGAGTAGTCTTATACAATGACTGAATGAATAAGGACGACCATTTTGAGTAACGTCAACGGAATGAATATAAGGATGACCTTAATAGGCAAATCCCCGACTCAGCGAGTTGCGATCTTCCGTCGTCTTTGTTAGAAACTTCTCACTCCTCCAACGACAAAGCAAAGAATAAGCTCTTCTTTGTGTTAAAGTGACAAACATGATGCATAGCGATAAACGTGCAGACACGTTCGGCATAGAGGTTTGCAGAACGCACGGGGTCTGGCCTTGTTCCTAAATTGGGGTTTCATTAAAACCGATGAACCATTGTATTCTGATTAATATGTAGCCGATAGACAGGCGCACTAGGCAACAGCAGAATGATGTCCGCCGCCCGAAGGATGTCATGGGTCAGAGGGTTCTACCGGCCAGGATCATAGAAAACACATCTGTAGATCAAGGTCGACGACGGTACCAACGACCAAGGGGAGCAGAACTCTCTTTCAGAGGGGCAACTCTCAAAAGTGCATGACCTATGCAGGCCATACGGGCGACGAGATGACGAAAATGAATATCTGAGGAGAGATAAGGACGCGTAGAAAACAACAGTGCAAGGAAACACACCTCGCCCACACACCATCGTCCACGGCAAATTTCGGCCCTTCCATCGAAGATAGACTCATAGCGGTGGCGTAAAAATGCGTTCACAGAAGGCGTTCATGAGTGAACAACGAAACTAAGTATATTGACGGGGCACAGTGGAACTACAATAGAATGGAAACAGTAAAATCCTGAAAGACAATAAGAATCAGCACTGTGAATTACGAGAATGCATGAGGAGAAAAGGTCTCAGAAGAAAAGGATGAGTTCATTCCCGTCGAAACAGGTCGTACTCATTAAAATCAGTTTATATTTTGGAATCATTGAAGTGAAAGAAAGTCATGATAAAAATAATTAATAAAGGCTTACCTATCGAGCAAGGCAGTCAACGGCGCGAAAGTTGCATGGCAGGTGCAGACGATGGTCAATGGTCAAGAAGAAGTGTTGTTTGTTCGAATTTGGCCGGAAAACTTTCTTTCATGGCCCGAGCGCTTACTGTTATAGTGACCGCAATCAACAACCGTGACTGAGGTTTGTAGCGCTAATCTAACTGAACAGTCAATGATTCAAAGGACTGCCGTGAATTGAGTCATCTCAGCCCTTTCTGCGACCTGCAAGTGTGGCTCAGTGACGTTCACTATCCGAGGTTCCCCATAACCATTATCTTTAAAAAGAAACTTCCTTTCCCAATCCCGATGCAGGACTCGCCGGTATTATGGCTTAATAGGAGTTTACTTTCTTACTTTGGGTGGTTCATTGACTTGGACCGTGCGCTAAGACGGTAAACGACTGCCACGGGGTTTTGCTTCCATACTTGGCTGACCATGGTGCGAGCTGGCTTCAGGGGCGCATTGCGTCACCGCCGATGTAGTTCAACTGGCAGAGCGTTGCTTTCCTAATAATCCATAGGCAAAGGTTGTGGGTTCGAGTCCCATCATTGGTTTTTGGCTCCTCCAAGAGAACTTCGTGCGGTCCTAGCAAGCCCGGTGCCGCACTCAGAACCATTACAGCAACTACAGACGTCGGCTCAGGCAAGTTCCTCCACGGGAGCGACCCGAACGACAGCAAGAGAATATCCCCAATACATTCTACAGATCTCGACACACACTTGAAATATATTATTGAAGGCATTCTACGACGCTCTTCGGATTCCTTCGAGCTACAGTTCATCCAATGACCTGGAAGCGGGTGCCGGACAATTTCCCCAGTCCGCTGGAGAAGCTCTTGCTTTTATCAAGCTTTTTGGTGGATGTGTGCTTCACAGGGCCCTAGTCTCGCTTGTATCCGTCACTCTGATGTTCCAGGGGCATTAAATCCCACATAATACTGCGAAAAAGGCATCAGACATTGTACTATGCTCTTGACAGTGTGGTGAATGCAGTACGAGAAGCATTTAATTATACAACGAAGAACAAGCGTCCTACTAATGATTCAAAATTCACAAATCTGCGACTACCTGACGAGGTATTCCAAGGACGGCCCTCCTCGACTTAGAGCTAGGATCAAAATACGGGCGCTCCCCAATACTGACAACTCGATTTCCCTGACGGTGTTGATCGCCATAGTCGTTCCTACGGTAGACGAAGCAACATAGTCAATCATTTGCTCATCTCGAAAAGGGCATAGAAATGTCTTACGTCGCGGTGTGGAATGTCACCCGATTGTCCCAGATTGCGATATCGTTCTTGTTCCATCGATAGCGAACTTGAAGGTCGTGGTTCTCGGATATATGGCGTTGGAGATAAGCCAGTACTTCGTCTGATTCTTCAGGTGAGAGTTCCACGATACGTTTCGTAAATCTTAGATTGCAGTGAGAACCTGGTGAGCAGGGCGAAAGGATGAAGGCGTACCCTGCATTGACGTAAAGCGACTTGAAACCAGTGACTGGATGCGTTCGAATCACAGGACTGAGAGGAACAGTTATGAGTTGACCCCAGGATACCGAATGTATAGACTCACTGGATCGCGGTAAGGCTCTCCCCAGTATTCTCTGGAGACCCACGATTGTCATTCAATTTGAAGTTGTTGCGCTTCGCATACTACGAGAATTCATGATGATAGATGCAAGGGATAGGTAGGGATGGACCTACAGCTATGAATCCGCCGCCATGGTGAACCGCTGTCAGACCCTCCAGGAACTTGGCGTAGGCAGGCGAGAGTCGATCGTAGGCCTCATACCCGCTGATGTAGCCTTAGCCTTAGCTTTTGAATGGTAATTTAAAAGTCTACCTTGCCCACTTGTAAAAGGCTGGTTAGTGTGCGTCGACTCAGAACAGTACAGTGGTAAACTCACGAGAGTGTCGCCTCCCAGATCTGGAAGGGTATGCATCTTCAGAATCTTCATGTTTATGATCAGCGGCAGCGAAGAGTTCAAATGCAGGCTAGCTCACAGCATAATCAGATGGGACAGGCTCGAACGAGATATCAGAATGCCACCCTCTGCTTGCACGGGTATGTGTGAGCTTCGCGTTTGTTCGTGTAATACCTCTACAAAGAAATGCTGAGCATTGTACAGGGCAATAGCTAGTAAAAACACGCACTCTTTGGATGATATGATAGACACATCCGCGCCCAGCTCTGGGACATCTTCCGAGATTGGATGAATATGGAGCTTTGATGTCTTCGGTTTGCCAGACAACTCTCCCAGTCTAGTAGCGAGCTCCTTCTGCTGTTGAATGGTGAGATCTTGGTTTGAGAAAAAGACGACGCCTCGATGGGAGACGAGCGAGGCGAGGTCTCTGATCAATTGGTCAGAGTTGGACGCAGCCAGAAAGTTAGAAAGTTGCACAGCGTCGTCAGGGAAGGTGGTGCCGATGATGGGAGTCGTGTCGAAGGACTTGAAGTCAGAAAGCGAAGAAGGGGGAGCATTCACCATAGTCAAAGAGTAGGTGGAATAACATGCGGTACGAAAGTGTAAGGCATATAAGTTGCTGAGTAAACTTAGGCACGCTAACTCTCGTTAGGATGGCGCAATAAAAGGTGCTGTGAAAATGGCGAAAAGAGACATTGAGGTTGCATCAACAACTTCGGATGTAGACCGGTCCGATATCGCAACAATTTCATTGAATTCTTTAATGTAAACACAGTGATTCATGCAACACTGGGCACCTCTTCAGTGCCGCGGCTCGCCATCCATGTCTCAGGGCCCTAGATGTCATCCTCAGCAACATCATCTCATATGTGGGAAGAAACAAACCGACCTTACGATTCTCGATCCTCTGATACTTTATCCTCCTAGCGAACCATTCAGCCGATGTGGCTCCCGTATTAAAGTTGATGTTTCTATCCAAAGCGTTCTTCTGCACCGCTTCTTTTATGACAGTGCTCTCATCACTGAGCGACTGCAGGACCACCGAGTCTCCTGGTCGGGTAAAGTATACGAGCGACCATCGCTCCATGGTAGCCTGATACCCAGGTGGAGAGCTGTCAAACGTAAAAGGTCAACCTGTGAAGTAGGAAGAGAAAACAAGAGGCATACACGACGCGATGAAGATTTGAGCGTAGAATACCGCCACTGAAAATGGCTAGTGCATCACCTATGTTGCAGATAGCATGTCCTTCAATAGGCTAACATGTTAAAGAACAGTAAGCTGTTGTATACCATGAAGAAGGAGCAATGTCACCTTGACATACTGCCATGTGTCAATACCCGGTACTAACACCTGCAGCCCGCCAAGGCGGTTGTGTAAGAAAGACTATATATATATCCTCGTCAGACATTTGCCGGAAATAATAGATGACAGACAGCCCTACCAAAGATCCAAAGTCGGTGTGACTCCCGAGCGTCGGGTCGTCTGCCTTTGGTTTCTCTGAAGGAAGTGTACGCGTAACTCTCGATTCACTACCGCTGGCTTCGTCATCGCGGTGTTTAAGAAGGAGAGTTCCAGTGGGTAGCCCCAGTTTGTCATTCAAAACGCTCAGAAGGACGTTGTTCACTTCAACCGACTTGCGGATGAAGGGAATGATCGTCGATTCCATTCGAGCGTTGACAGTGGAGGGGTATGACCTGTGAATCTGACGTGGCCATGCGAGCGCGTCGTCCTTGGAAACGTTGATAAACTCTACAGCATCCTTCTTTCCAGTAGAATCCACAGCGTTGGCGCCGGCAGATTTGTATCTGAGTCGAAAACAAATGAGTGACCTAATAAACAGTCGAAAGTATCTTTACCCAAACGACATTCCATCATTACCCTGTTCAAACTCGAGCTTCTGCTCAATAGGGAGAGCCATAGTTTCAGCGCCCATGTCAAACATCGCTCGGACTTCGTCGTCAACACCATGGTTCTTCAAGCTAAGAAAATAAATGCTTAGATGATTGGGTGGTTGTAAGCCTTTGGTCGCAGGTTACTTACTACCAAAACCCAAGCTTCGTGCTCGCATCCCAAAGTCTGTTGATTTCGGCCTCATTGCCTTGCCTGATGAGATCGAAGTCGATGATGAGAAGCGGGTGGGTGGGGATATCTTTGGGAAATTGGGGGAACTCATTGTGAGACATTGTTCGAATTTACGAAGTCATTATGGCTTCACTTACCGGTACTTATACCTCTCCAGAAAATCTACACGTCATGGAAGTAAATGCTTGAGCACTGATGTGTTTACTTTTCCACGCTACAAGTTGCGTTTTCCATTCGACAAACGGGTCAAACGAAGCTGATGAAGTGTCACGAGTGTCCGCGTTCACAGGACATGTCCGACCGATACATACCTGAATAAGAATCGTAAGATGATACAACGTAAAGATGGTGACCATGCTGCATAAACCATGATCGGACAAGTCTGGGATATAATATGAAATGTGTCGGTCAGCCTAGTTTCCTGCGACGCACGGGGGAAACTCGTCCTATGTTTGTGCCGGTGAACTTCTTTCATTTGAACGGATCCATACTCCAGACTGGAAGCTATTTTAATTGTTTTCAGATGGATGTGCGCCAAGAGACTACACGCATGATCTCCTGGGATGTAAATCTTAGCACATGATACAATGAAGGTTTATATGAACTCTTCTTGCCTAAAAGTGATGGTAAAGAAAAGAGCCGCACACGGTGAGGAATCTGAGTCGAAATACACTACAACTCACCTTGAAGTTGGAATGAGTCGTGACAGCGAGGGTGAGAAATAGTGCTGCGGAAAAAACCTCCGGGCTATATTTTACCGGTTAGTTACTGACGTTGGTGGGAGTAGGTTTTTTACAGAGTGTCAAGAACCTCCTCGTCAGGTACGATTTCCGATTTCCGATCCGACGACGCTCATTCAGCATACACCACCAAACTGGCGCAATGTCGTGGCAAGATGTCGGCAATTGTGTCTCCGTGATGTGGTAGGAAAAATTGTTC